AATAAAAAATTGAGTTCGCCCATTAAAATGTTTAGGACAATTTATCCTTCCAAAATTATTAATTGTTATGAAAAGCATAAAAGCAATTAATTCAAGTTAGTCTAAAGTAACATGTATGGATGTAAGGATCTTTTTTAAAAAAATAACTTTTAAAAATTAGTACCTAATGGGCATAATATTGGAGATGGTATAAGGTATTTTGATTGCTAACTAGTTGAAGACATTGAGCTGTGCAAAAGGTGGGTTTGATTTGGTTTTGTTTGCCTCGTTTATCACCAGTTCAACCATAGAAATCATTCCTGGTCAAGAAAGAGTCTAAAGGAAGTAGAACTTTCAGAATAGGAGAAAATTGCCAGGATGTTACAAGGAGTATGATTTAAACATCAAAATAGACATACAATGTTGAGTATGATCAGTAAGAGCTTAAAAGATTCAAGTTTGGAGTCAACTGACTGCACAGCAGAGAGAAAAGTGGTGACCTATTCAATTCTCAGTCTAATTATTGTGGGCAGCCAAAGAAAATAATGGGAAGGCATATCAAAAAGACACCTGCTATAGAATCAGAGTTAATACAGTATGAATTAAGGGGAAAGAAGAAAGGTAGAAATGTAAATATAGAGTTATGTTTTCCAAACTTCATTCCTATTACTCATCTAAAGAAATAGAGCTTCCATCATAACCCATTCCTTTCAACTTGTGATGCATTCCTGTTTCTCTATTTTATTTTATTTTATTTCTATTTTCTCATGCTATCGATGGCATTAAATGTATTTCACAACTATTTTCATGACTTACAGTTTGAAGAGAATGTAACTAAGTAGCTAATATTGAAAAGGAAATGGATCGTGTGAATGTTAGCCCCAATGGGAAAGGCACTGTGTGATCTCCTCTGAATGGCCTGTCTCAGACAGAACTGATAATTTCCAGGGTTTTGAAAGGAGACAGAATCACAAAGAACTTGCCTCCTTCTCTGGAATGAATTATGGAGTAAATGGGCAGATAGGAGCCTCAGGACTCGATTGAACAGGTCTCAAGATGGTCCCAAGGAGACATGTGGCCTTGGAAGTCATGCTCAATGTGAAAATACACTAAAGCAGATGCCCCTTAAGATATGTGTTAAGTTCTGACAAAGATATCTAAGGCAATGGAGAAAGTAGTGCATTTTATAAGATGTTATGGTAAACCTCATCATTGACCTGTGATTAGTAGTTTTAAGTGTGTTATTAAAAAAATCTGTGATGGACAGCTAAGGGAATTACTAGAGAAACGTTTGTGAGTTCACCAGATTTCAGTGTAGATTTTGTTTTTATGAAATGAACTTAAAAGAAGAAGTTACAGTTAAAGTTGGAATGGAAAAGCTTGCCACTGTACTCCACATCTGGTTGTTGCTATTTGCATTCCCTTGTCGAGCCTACATCTTCTTAAGCTTTTAGCTGGTAAATGTTGAACACTTCTGCTTCATGGTTCATTCGGAATCACAGGCCATCATACAGGCAACTGCATTGCCTGTTTTCTTCTGTCTTTTTCCATGACTCTATCTACTGCCTCATCTTGATTTATAAACAAAACCTGGAAAACCTACAAAATGAATGTTTTGTGGTTTATCTGGAAATAATACAAAAAATATTGCTGTTATTTTTAGTGAAGAAAATTTGTATAGCTTATTTCAATCTAAATAAAATGTGAATTTTGTTTTTTTTTTTTTTTTTTTAAAGGCAATGGAGAATTTGGAAGGTGAAACCCAAGGCTGAAGATAAATTTCTTTTCTGGAAAAGATCTAAGCCTTTGTAGAAGGGCAGCCCAAATATAACCAAATCACAAAGCTTCCAATGATACCCAACCACCACGCGTAAGAATGCAGCAGGTGTAAACTCTGAGACTGCGTAGTCAGAAATTCAGTGGCACAGTGAGAGCACACAATTACCACACAAAGTTTAAACAGATTGAAATGATGATTCTTCAAAGTGAATGCTTTGCCAGTTCATTAAAACTGACCCAAAGTTCATCCTGTCCTGTAAATTCATCTCAGTTCAACACACTTTTATAGAATACCTTTGAATCCATGAATTCACCGTATTCTGTTTACTGCTGTATCTTGAGTACATTCATTGTGTTACACTGAGTAGGCACGGAGTACAGGGCTGAAGGATGGATATGTCGGCACGTAAGATAGAGTACATGGAAGAACAGGCATGCATTGAGTAATCAGCTCACATTACAAGGATTTTAGAACATCAACTGTATACACTATAGGATTAGGAGAAAAGGACTTACTGCGGAGTCAGGAGCCTCCAAACACTACTGAGATGATTTTGGAAGATGAATAACAGAAGGATGGACATTCCAAAAGAGAAAAGCAGTAGAAGGCACCAACTGCAAGTAGTGTTTCTTAAGCAGAAAATAAACATCTCACACTGGGGAGGGCTTGGGCTTGAAAGCAGGGAAGGGACAGATACCCAGGTAGAAAGAAAGCCATGGTCAGATTATAGGCCCTTAATTGTGCCATGTCCAAGAGGAGCCTGAACTTGTGAACACCATGTGGTAGTGTTTTCAGTGGATGGAAGACATAGTCAAATTTGATTCAAATTCTGTGGGTTCCATAAACAGAGCCCACTAAGTTATTTACCACAAGTTTTTAAAATCGCCTTGCTGTCCTTACTGGCAGTTGTTAGTCTTTGGTGTGGGCTTTTCTTGTCTGTTGTCTGATCTTTTGTAAGACATTGGCAAAGCTAAGAGCACTCATTCCCCTGCCAGACAAGTCAGAGCATCTTTTCTAACCTTGAATTCCAGAGTTTGTGCAGGATCTATGTATGACGAAGATCTATAATATTTTTGACTTACCTACAAATCAAGGCTGCTTGAATACAAGCCCGGAACAAATGATCATGTTGATCATCAGGGAGGGTCGAAAACTTCCTCCAGTTTCAGTTAACAGATGAATTTTGAGTGTCAATAGAGCATTTGTTACAACTTTCTGGATCCAGCAACTGTTGTTGCTGATGTCTCCAAATCCTTCTTGGTACCTCTATTCACACTGTTTTTGCATCAGAGCCCTTTCCATTCCCTATTTCTGTCTGTCGAAATTCTTCTCCCTTCCCATTTGATCACATTCATTTTTCTTTTATGCCTGGATATGAGCAGATCAGTCTCCCCTGGGATTGCAACCCTAGAGGATAGGAACCAGAGTGTTTTGTCTTTGATGCACTCCCATCCAAATGCATAAGAGAATACATGAGAAAAAATGAACTAGCATATGTAAAATCCCTGAATATGATGCAAGTTACTATGAAAATGATAGTTCTTATAAAATGATTTCCTATCTCCCTTTTGTACACACACAGAGAAGAGAATTTTTTATTTTTCAATAGGTTTGTCCATCCATTTATAGCATCCACCCCAAAAGAGCACTGGGTTCACCCTAGTGTCCTCTGTTTCCCTTCTTCATTCTTCCCAAAATCCTCTTGCATTTTTTCTTCTTACACCTTTGTCTTTATGCCAGGACTTTAGCTAACACCCTGCACCATTCAGAATAGAGCTTTGCACAATCCAGATGCATGTGTTGTCCTATGGTTTGGCTTTATGTGGACAGATGTAATTAGAGTCAGTGACTTCAAATTCATAATATCTATTTGGGGACTCTATTGAAACAGGATAACTATAAACCAGGCTGAGCTGTGGCTGTCCCGTTGATTAAAGCACATCCTCTTCAGCTTGGCAGTCCCCTCCTTGCCCTACTGTCTCCTTGGGACCCAGCCAAGAGTCACCTGCCATTTATTAACATGCCCCTGCTGTTGATTTCTTACTGTAGAGGTATATTTCTTTGATCTTGTATCACTGCCAAAAGTGGGGAAAACAAAAACAGACTGGGAAGGCTGTGTGATTTTTCTTACATCCAAACTGTGACATTCATCTATTGTTCTTTGCATGAGCCCTGAACATTCACCATTCTGATCCCTGATGCACAGCGTCAGAGTCAGTGCCAATTTGATCGAGGACACAGGACCACCATGAATGACATGACACAGGGATTTATTGTGCAACCGAGGGGCATGAGGAGAAAGTTTGCAGAAATATAGTAACGAGGCTAAAATCTGTTACTGTCAGTGAGAGGGTGACAAACAGGAAAAAAAGTCTTACATGACACAGAACTGAGGAAAGCCCAATTAGAACCAGTGGAGGGAGCCAAGTATGAGAGAACACACCTGTAATACCCAGACCTGGGAAGCTGAGGCAGGAGGATCACTGCCAGCGGGAGGACAGCTTATGCTACACAGTGAGTTCAAGGCCAGCCTTAAGTATGTAGCAAGTCTGTCTTCGAAAAAAAAAAAAAAAGCCCTATCTGTCTCCCTTCAGCTCCACCCTGATCCTTCCCAAGGTGCTTCAGGGCTTCCCCAAGTTTCAGAGACACTGAAAGGAGACATCTAGAAGCAGCTTCAGGAACCACAGATGCAGCCTCTCACAACCAGGTGAACCAGCCTGCAGACAGAGATAATATTCATGAGTTGTAGGGAAGCTGGGTAGCGCAGAGCCCCATGCTGTCTTACACACGTATTAGCTGCAGATTCACATCTGCCTCCCAAATGTAGCGTAAGTTTCGCTCGTGGTGGATGTTGCTCAAGAACCAGAGGAGGGAACACTGGGAAATGAAGTTTCACCTTAGCTGAGTAACCCAGTACAAAACCACTATTGTAGACACTGGAACAACTCGGGAATTATCACATCAAGCACCACCAGTGTGACCACACTTCATCTAAGCAAATACTCCAATCTAGTAGCAGAAGAGATGGAAGGTGCAGCCTAGAAAATATATATAAGAATATATTTTAACTACTACACTTCACCACTGTGACCCAGCACCCAGGACAGCACCTTGTAGAGAGTTAATGTGTCCTACGTTTCAGTGAATTAGGTCGGCTAGTCCTGGTTACCTACCTAAGAAACAAATGTAAATTGATATTTCTGCTAGGGAAAACAATAGCAATATTATAAAACTTCTTTTGATACTTGCCTGGCAGGGGAGGCACCATGATCACGAAGGTGGTTTTCCCAGGGTGAGGCCCATCCAGTGCACTTCAGTGTGCTGATCCCTGTGATTTCCCCAAATGCAGGAAATTCAACTGCATAATCAGTGGTAGTGGGAAACTGCATTTGCACCTTGCCCTGTATATGTTGTGAGTAGTAGACCTATTTACCCTTCTTTTTGGAAGCACTGCTTGGGATGCCCCTTTCACTGTTCATTTTGGTTTCATGGTAATTTTACTTTTGACCAATAAAGATGTTTTTGAATCAAATATATTTGTAGACTTCATAGCATCTCAATTTTAAACATGAAGATAATCTTTATTTCATATAGCACCTTATGATCAAGAAATAAATCTGTGATTAAAGTATTTGCATTAAGAACAGAGATATAAACAAGACACTAAGCAAAACAAAACATGAATTACTAAATACATCATAGAGATTAATGATAGTTAGATATTTCACCTAACTGAAATATACATCAACCATTTTGCAAATTTCTTACACATAAAGATAAATGGAAAATGAGAAAAAAAAAGATTAACAAAAGTGAATCAGAAAATTAGACCCTCATTTCTTTGAATAATCAAAGAGCATCTTATTTTTATGAGAAATGCTGAAAAAAATCAAATATGAAGATAAATAAGTTTCCAAGATGTCAGCTAGAATTTTATCTTTTTTGGATAAAATATAGACTTCCTTATCAGTTCTCAAATTTACAAAGCCTAATCCGTAGAATAAATCTCTTACTCCATACCACTTTTGGTGGATCCACTTCACTGATATAGACATGTGGTACCAGGGATTCAAAATCAAGGGCATCAGGAGACAGACTCAAAAAATCCTGCCACTTCCTGGGTTAACATATCTAATTATTTAGAAGCATCCCTGTGCTAATGATTGACAATTAGGTGCTTTCAGATTTTCTGTCAGCATCACTATATGACATATTCCTAATTTAACCTGAGTACATTCTTTCTTTTAGTAAAGGCTAGTCAGAAATTTTCTGGTAAACAGACTATGATGAACATTAAAAATTAAAATATGCATTTTATAATACAATTTAATTTAAAAATTGTATTATAACATATTTAGCTCAGAAATGTACACATTTGTAAAAATTCATACCCCTTTATTTATCTTCCTAGGATAAATATTATGGCCTCAGCGCTTGAGTACTCTCAGTCCTGGAACAAATTTCAAATCAAAACATGTATTTGTTGAGCCCTATTTCCTTAAAATGTGTAAATCTAAAACTTTTCAGAAAGGTCCTCTCTCTATCCAGAAACTTCAATGTTGTTGTTGTTTGTGTATTTGGTACAGGGTCTCACTATGCAGCTCGGACTCGTAGTGATCCTCCTGTTTTGAGCCTCCCCAGTGCTGGCATTAAGGGTGTGCACCACCACGCTGGGTCTCAGTGGCTGGCTCAGTGGGCCCGAGGGCTGGGCTGACGTGGACTGTGGTGCCGGGAATAGAATCTGGTCACTGCCCTTGCCTAAATAGGCACTTAGTTTGCTGAACTATCTCACTGGTCCTTTCTACCCAGACACTGCAAAGAAGAAACCTCATTATTTCCCAGAACCCCAGGGGATCACACTGTCCCCTTTTAACACATTATGCCAGCAAGTTTCATGTAGCCCAGAGTCACACAGAAGTTATAGACTTTAAAATGCCCACCTCCTCCCTTTAGTTGAATTTGAAGAATAATTCATCAATGTAATCATGTTTATTTTATTTTATTTTATTTTATTGAGAAACCAATATCAATGAGACAGCTTCAAAGCTGTCTTTGAAATAGGACATTTTCAGTAATTAATACATTGTACATTGTTATCTTCTTAGTGGTTATCATATTTAAGCATCACATACTTTACATATTGAATTATTTACTGAATAAGTTAATGAACTTTCCCACCAAAACAATGTACCCATACATACATATTGAAAATCTACTTCACAGTGCTTTTAAAATCTATTCTAGGCGTGTTTTAAAAGATTCCCAAGAATCATTTATTATTCTGGCTTAAAAAACCCATTAATGAGTATTTACACTCCGAAATAATTCTAATTTTACAATATGCTACAGCTGGAAAAGATTATGGCACAAACACAAAACTCTAAATTTCCCAAATTTACAGGTCCTGGATAAGAAACTGAAAAGGAGTGAGAGAGCTCTTCAGTTTGGGAAACGAAGTGGGCAGAAACCATCATGGAGTGACGGGTGCCAAGTGGTGCCTACCCCATGTGTCGTTAAACCCACGTTTGCTGATGGATTTCTCTCAAATTCAACGAGCTGTTGGGGGTATGAGTGAGATTAACACATGTACCTACATGTAGAAACATGTGCATCTAGTTACAAAAACATAGATTAGGTAAGAGATAGACCCGTGGTGGGGCTGTTTGGGCTTTTTTAGTGCTTGCCAGCAAAGAGCTCACCAATTGCTGTGGTTTTCAGGGGGCACAGTGACTTGGTTTCCAGACATCAAATCCTTCTATACAGTAGTGACATCAAGTACATGAACAGAAATGTTAAGGTAGAATGTTGTGTGTGTGAAATGAAGAAGGAACACTGGAAATTCCATTAAGATGGTCTTTCTTTTTTTTTTTTTTTTGCAGAACCAGAGATTGAACTTAGGCCCTTGCACTTGCCAGGGAAGTACTTATTCCACTGAGCCATCTCCCCGGCCCCTAAGATGGTCTTTTTTTGCTCTCTCTCTCTCTCTCTCTCTCTCTCTCTCTCTCTCTCTCTCTCTCTCTCTCCTCTCTCTCCTCTCTCCTCTCTCCTCTCTCCTCTCTGTCTCTCATGTGTATATGCACATACATGCACAAATGTGCATACACACACACACACACACAGAGCACACCACATGAGGCCCTCAGGCAGTATGCGCTGTAATGGAACACTAACATCAAGCATGAGTTGGTGGCTGCTGTGGGGAGGCAGATGCTCATCCTCCCCCATCTTTGCTCTCTGACAGTTTCTATGTCACATATGCCATCACCAGCCTGACACATGTATGCCAGCCTTCTTAATAACCCAGGGAGGGCTTGGGTCAGAGGTTCCCCTCAAATGACTGACAGCCAGGGCGGCATCATACCTGCAACAGAACCGTCAGCTGGAGTGAGAAGACAAGGCCCCATAGGGAATTCCTTTCCCTCCCAACAAGGAACCTTCACTCAGCACGACCTGCCTTAGAGGAAATTTCCGACAAGGTCCTCTCTTTTCCACCTCAAATCCTGCCTTGAAACAAGCTCTCTCTGCCACCTGCAACTTCTGTAAATCAATTTCCAAACAGAAAGCACTATGCAAAATATGCAGAAGGCAAGATGGGTAAGGAGATGACAAGTTGCCCTGCCCTGCCTCCTGTCATGTGGGGTCTCCTCTTACTTCTCCCACAAAGCTCCAAGAGGTTAAAGGAAGACTTACACTCACAGAATTGTGAGACTGGAGGTGACCTCAGGAAATTATCCAGGCCTGTGTCTGCCATCACCCACAAGCTCAACTCCTCTTGCTGTCTTGGCATATCGAGTTACTATTGCAATGCCAATCACCAACTCTCTCTCTCTGTCTCTCTGTCTCTCTGTCTCTCTCTGTCTCTCTGTCTCTCTCTCTGTCTCTCTCTCTCTGTGTCTCCTGTGTGTGTGTTTCTCTGTCTCTGCCTCTCTCTCTGTCTCTCTCTCTCTCT